TCCAAAACATCATGATTCCTTCCAGTTTTACAAGAGAACAATCTTGCAGCTTATTTATATTTCTTCTAGTTGTATTAATAAAATTTTAAATTTACTTTCCCACTATACATGTATACAAACTTTCATGCAAGCTGCTCTCCTTGAATATATTTTTAACTTTGTTATCCAACTCCTATCACTTTCCCTGCCACCATGTAATGTCCCCAACCCCTTGCTGAAGTCATGGTCTTCCAGGCTTCAGCTCTTCCCTAGATAGTTCAACTAATGTTGGCAAAACATCCTCTTGGTGAAATTCACTTTAGTTGAGCCCATGCTGATTGCTAGTAACTGCCTAGGTTCATTTCTTTCTTTCTTTTTTTTTTTTATTAAATCATAGCAGTGTACATTAATACTATCATGGTACAGTGTACTGTTTCTATATACAATCTGAAATACTTTCATCCAACTGGTTAACATAGCCTTCATGTCATTTTCTTAGTTATTGTGTTAAGACATTTATATTCTACATTTAGAGAGATTCACATGTACCCTTATAGGATGAACCATAGGCGTGATCCTACCAATCACCCTCCCGCCACCCACCTCCACCCTCCCCCACCCTTCCTCTCCCCTCTCCCCACATCCTAGGTTCATTTCTAAGTGTTCTTTTGTTCTCTATTAAACTCTGTTCTAGAAAATTACCAAAGCACATCATGCTTATTAATTTATATTTATCCTTTATTTATATTTCCTGAATTTGTCCTTCCTCCTCTGTTTTCACCCTTTGAGTCCTCTCAGTATTGATTTTTTGAAAAAAGTATTGATAATGATTCTGTAACCTAATCTGCAATTCCTCCCCTAATCATGACAGGGGGCCAACTCAAATTAATATGATTACGGGCTTTTCTTTTCAAAGAAAGCCCCATAATTCTCTCCTACATTTGTGGACGTGACCTTTTTGTATTATTTGTATTACCATTTCCATGTAAGAAAACATTCTCAATGGGGAAAATAAGGAAACAAGAAGGCCTGAGCAGTGTCTTTCCTTTACTCACAGAGAACCAACTTTTCCATCCCTTGTTTATAGCCTTTTCTGCCACATCTCCTGAAACATAACTTCAAATAAAACAAAATAACAACAACAAAAAGCACTTTCCTCCATTTTCCCACTGTGCTTTAGTGTCCCTCATTCCTAAGGCTCCACTGATCTTTCACGGTGTGTGTGAAGAAGCCCCCGACACACCACCAGTTCTCATCCAGTGTCACCAGTTCTTTTAACACACAAATCCACCAATGCCAACCCAGCAACTCAGTGGTTTCTTTGGAGTTCTTACCTTCTCTGTCTTTTTGAGGCTATTTTGTATGGCATGAATTATGTTTTAAGCCCTTCTTTCTCTGCTAAGTCATGTTCTTTTTCTTTTTATCATATTTCTTTTTAGAATCAGTATCTATTTGAGCATATCTCTACTTTTTAAACATTTTTTTCTAAAGCATGTATAACTGGATCCTGTTTTTCCTTCCTTCACTCCTACTAATAATAACATAATTTGGTAACTTTCTTCCAAAATGTTATATTACTTCTTCATTCTAAAACAATTCCTCCACCATTCAAAGTGATGTCCAGTGTAGGAGGTCCCCTTACTTCCTCAGGCTTTCTCAGAGAAACCATATGGCCAGTAAAGCAAGTCAGGAATGTTTCAGATGCCCAGCTTTTAGACAAATGAGGCAGAAACCCAGCTGACAACTACCTGGATATTGCCCAAATCTAGTTTAAGTTTATGTTAAAAAGAAAGTTTCTACTTACAGCAACAAGGCAATCTATGGTAAATACCATAACATTGCTTCTGGTCCTTTCTACCTTGATGCCTTTCTGTGCTGGAGGTCTCAGGTTTACAGTCACAGAGTAGAGGGTAGAGAGAAGCCATGAATAGGCAGCCATGGCACTTGACATTGAAAGATCTGGTTTTACATCCTGAGTCCGACCCCACGTTCTAACCATATGACTATAAATAAATTTCTCCACCTAGCAAAATTCAGCATCTTGCATCTTTAAAATAGAAATAATAATATCCACCATAAAAGGCTATTGTGAATATCAAAGAAGAAATTATATATATATATACACAGTAGAACTTCTATACGGGATGATAACAACCTGGTCAACATACACAGGTGGTCAACATAAGGGACTAGGCCTACTGCACTCATACCTACATGTGGCGCATGTCTGGCCTACAAACATTAGGTTAACTTCAGGAGATGGGCATATAGGGAAGTGTTCAGCTGTGGAGGTTCTGCTGTATATGTAAACGCCCAATACAGTGGTGACTGATTTTACAACAGAACACACGCATTTCTAAAATACAGAAACCAAACTATGAAAGCTATTCTCTAGAAATAAGGTTAGAGGAGGTGAGAGAGGAAAAAGAAAAGAGATTTATAATGTATTGCCTCCTGTGGTGCTTACTTTTAAGTTAAGCATTTTACCCTTATAACAAAAGAAAATGAATTTTAAAAGGAACAGCTCACTATCATAAAAGTTATTCCACACTTTTCTCTGTTATTATATTATTATTAGCATATTACATGTGTTTCTCATGTAACTCTTAATAACATAACTTTGAACTATAGTATTGCTCCATGCTACTCAATACAGGTGATACAAGTGAGATAGTATTACTAGTGTTCTATTTTCATGTTTCAAACTCCTTTTCTAGAGTTGGCTGTGGTCTCTTTATTAAACACACACATACAAAAGTATACGTAACTATCCTTAAAACGATGGCAGCAATTGCTATCTTGTCCTAAGTCACCACCTTCCCAAAAAGGCTACAGCTCATGTGCCCCTTCCCAGGGCAGAGATCCTTCCCCACGTAGCCAGGGGTCTGCGGCTAGTTCCTTCTCTTGTCCAGCCTGCTTGATGGTAAATTGTTCTCAGATATCCTGGAAAGGGAGGCATGAAGCCCCAGGATCCTACTAGTTAAAAGACAGGAGTTTCTTTTCTTGAGCAGCTCCTCATTACTCCTACCCCTCTGGGAGAAGAAAGTTTCAACAGTTTAGGATCTTTTCACTGTGGTTCCTATCTGCCAGAAAAGGATGTCTGAAGGTCTTTTTAAACTCCTTTCATTCTCTGTCTCCTTGAGGAGTTCAGGTTCTGATGACTATAACTCGAAGATGAGAAAACTACCGCATCAAGAAGAGCTGGCCTCTCCAGTGTCACCCAGACACTTCGTTATCAAGTCAAGCCCACGCACAGACAAGGCTGTTATTACCAAGCCTGCCATAAATCCAAAGGAAGCCATGTACTCATTCTAGAAGCAATGACAGTACCTACTCAGCGCCACCTGCCCTTTCAAACAGGCTGAGTAAACAAGCAATATTCCTATGCTCAAATGTGTCAGTATAGGCCATTTTGTCCAGAGTCCCCTTATCCTGAGAAAAGAAGAAATAAATTACATACTAGCCTTCACCTACCCAGTCATCTACCCTTCTACCTCTGTTTCCCCAAATTCAACCCTATCCTAGAATGCTAAATACAGGAAATATTTGGGGTATTTAATTGGCATTATATTGCATATTAAGGTCCAGATTATTAGCTGTTCTATTGGTGGTTAAGTGAGAGGTAGTAATATTTGAAGAGACATAGGGCATATTGTTGATAGCTCTGGGCTATATCAAGTATTGGTTTTAATAGCAGGCCAGATCTCCAAGAACATGCTGTGGAGCTGTGTATAAACTTGATCTTGGTCTCCTTTGCCAGACAAATGATGATTAATCAGGACTCAGATGTCAGTTGTTTTATGTTGCTTGTGCTCTTTGCTAACAGCTGCCTATTTCAAGCTGTGCTTCCTACGTGGCAAATATAAACGTGGAACCACAATTTCCAGAAGGAAAATTTCTAAATACTAATATTTATTCCAATGTACATAGAGCATACTGAAATATTCAGTGTTGTTTTTGATTAAGGTCTACTTAGTATTACATACTTTAACTAGAGTTAGTTTAGAGAAAAAAGTTTCAGAACATGTGAGATAGCCAGAAAAAAATAAAAACCAACTTATTATTGGATATACATATACACAGTCTGTTTAGATATTTGTAAATATAATTTCTCCAAAAACTCTTATGCATAACATGCTTCCTGATAAACTATCACTTTCCTTTTTTATTCTAAAATAAATAAAAGCAATGGAATATTGTTGATAGCTGAATTATAAAAGATTTAAAATTTTTATTTAGAGTAAGTTTTAAAAATTTTGAAGTAGGTGATTCTTGTCAAGGTCCTCCATACATTTGAATTTGATTTTTAATCAAAATGCCATAAGAATCGCATATTTGTATAACTTCTTTTCACAAAGTCCAAGCAAAAGCAAAGTTTTAAAAGAAAATGAGGAAAATTTTTGGTCAAGATTTTCAAGAATTTAGAAAAGTTTGTGCCTTGAAATTTGGGTGGACAAAATAGAATTTCAGTAGAATTGATTTTTTTTTCTTAACCTAGATGATAAATGCCTAATTTGGACTGCCCATGTGGCATACAGTTCCCAAATTAAACTCTTTCAAAGACTGCTGTTTTTAGCAAAAGAGGGGGAGGTGAGAATTAGACAGAACCCGGGCTCTTTTATACAACCGTAGCCAAGTTGTCTAAAAACCAAGCGTGGCCAATTCACTGTAGCTCATTGTTTGAACTATAACAGGACCCCAAAAACTTATGACAACCGCATTGAAGGAAGCTGACGAGGATTTCTCCCAGTGTAGGGTCTAGCACGGAGCACAGAGGAAAGCGGTGCCCCTCTCTGCTGGTCCCTTCCCAACACACACACCGCCTGCTTTGGGCTTGCTCCTGCACACCCAGAATAGAGTATCCGGGAAGCGTCTGGCATTCATCCCAACAACTATATGTAGTGATCTAGAGGAGAAAAGAAAACTCGGTAAAAGATACAAATGGTCTTATTCTTTTTTCATATCCATTCATTTGCCTCTGGGTGTCTAAAAAAGGTGCCTGCCCTTTCTCCCTCCCCCAGGTGGCCAACCTGCTCCGGCTCTTCCAGATCCCTCAGATAAGCTACGCTTCCACCAGCGCCAAACTCAGCGACAAATCGCGCTATGATTACTTTGCCAGGACCGTGCCCCCTGACTTCTACCAGGCCAAAGCCATGGCCGAGATCTTGCGCTTCTTCAACTGGACCTACGTGTCCACCGTGGCCTCCGAGGGCGACTACGGAGAAACAGGGATCGAGGCTTTCGAGCAGGAAGCCCGCCTGCGCAACATCTGCATCGCCACCGCGGAGAAAGTGGGCCGCTCCAACATCCGCAAGTCCTACGACAGCGTGATCCGGGAGCTGCTGCAGAAGCCCAACGCGCGCGTCGTGGTCCTCTTCATGCGCAGCGACGACTCGCGCGAGCTCATCGCCGCTGCCAGCCGCGCCAACGCCTCCTTCACCTGGGTGGCCAGCGATGGCTGGGGCGCGCAGGAGAGCATTGTCAAGGGCAGCGAGCACGTGGCCTACGGTGCCATCACCCTGGAGCTGGCCTCGCAGCCCATCCGCCAGTTCGACCGCTACTTCCAGAGCCTCAGCCCCTACACCAACCACCGCAACCCCTGGTTCCGGGACTTCTGGGAGCAGAAGTTCCAGTGCAGCCTCCAGAACAAGCGGAACCACAGGCGCGTGTGCGAGAAGCACCTGGCCATCGACAGCAGCAACTACGAGCAAGAATCCAAGATCATGTTTGTAGTCAACGCCGTGTATGCCATGGCCCACGCCCTGCACAAAATGCAGCGCACCCTCTGTCCTAACACTACCAAGCTTTGTGACGCTATGAAGATCCTGGATGGGAAGAAGTTGTACAAGGATTACTTGCTGAAAATCAACTTCACAGGTAAGCAAAGAGCCTTTCTTCATCTTCTAAGGTGCAAACAGGTGAAATAGAACAAGGCCCAAAGACCTCTACCCCCAACCCAGAATCATTGTTTTAAAGCTACAATAAGGGTTCAAACTGTTAAACAAACGTTCCTTCCAAGATGCAAAATAATGGCTTGTTGCTGTGCTGCCTCATCTTTGAAGCATATCTTGGCTGGTACACAACCTCACGATGAAAGGCACCCTAGGCTGGGCTGACAGCCCACTGGCTCCCCAGATGAAGGCCACGCTGCATTTGCTCTCTTTCTTGTTAGCTGCAGGATATGACACATGTGATATGGGCATTTAATCTGCTTTAGCAGAATCAGCAACTCTCTAAGGGCCATGAACTTCCAAGCTTTTTTTTCCTGGGTGATTTGAGCAAAAGAATCTCATAACTTTCACAGTGGGTGAGAGGGAAAAAAAAGTCACTTGTTTTCCCAGAGCCTGATTAGGGACAAAACAGGAAAGACACCCAGACCATAGTGATTCCTAGGCATTCAAGTTTATTTCGTCTGTTATGTGGAAACATTTCCATATGGATATTAAGAGTTGGGCATTTTCTCAAATTATGTTATAAAATAAAATTCTTTCTGTGAGCTTTAGTATAACCAAATTGAAGACCTATGAAAGTCATTCAGATACAGTAGTGACCATGCAAAGGCGCATTCAAAGTAGCTTTAGCTGCCTCTTCATTGATTCCTAAGTATGGTCTAAAGAATACAATATTGCATTTAATGTTTTACTAAAATAAAAAGCCTGCATTTTAGGCCTGCATTCTCCACTAAGGTACATCTGGTATCAGCTCATTAAGGTACTTGTTCAGCATACTATAGCTTAATCCCAAATTATAAAATGCTAAATAGTATTATTGGGCACAAAAGGTTCTGCTGCCAGAAACAGTACAATGATAAAATGTTTTCACTTGCCTAAATTGCTAATCATCTCCCATGACACTAGGGCATTATTCTAGCCTGCATAATCGGTTTTCAATTGATTTATTATTGAAGACCCGAAAATTTACATGTTTAAACCATGCTATCATTGGTGTAAATGGCAGTTCTCACGTCTCCCTTAAAGGTAGCCCCTCAGAAATCAAGTGGTCTATGAGATCACCAGTAGTACTGAGAGAAGACCCCCACACCATTGGCTTCTATTCCCGAATTCTCATTCCAAGTGCAGCCTTGAAAATAAGCATATTACCAGCCTTGGTCTTTGCATATCTTATTTTCTTTATTCTCCTCGAAGGAGGCCAAAGGTGTTAGAAATCAATTATCTCAGGACAACTTACTATTCATCCGATAGATACCACCTCTTACCATTAAATGACTATTAAAAGTGATAAAGATTGAACTTTGCTTTCTGTGTTCTTACAGGTGTATTTCATATAAGATAACAAAAAATGTCAAAGTAGTAATAAATTAGCAGTTATGTCCAAGACCACTTCCTATTGACATCTCCAGGAAATAAGAATGGATCCTAGAGTCAGTAAAAAAAAAAAAAAAAAAAAAGTATATCTTTATATCTTTAGTCTAAAATAAATGACCTCTCAATATTCATAAATAGCATTTACAATGCACTTAATTCTTAAAGATGAAGAAGATACTTGATCACACACTCCCCCTTCAGGCTGCCCTTAGGAATATTAGTTATCTTCATTCACCACATGTATTTACTTTGGTACACTAGTACGTTCCTTACTCCTTAGAATGAAGGTGTACAAATACATATTCACTCATCAATAGCTAAAATAAAGGGAACTCTCAGAATTCAGAGAGCCCTTGCGAGGTGTTTTATATGTATAACCAAAACATTTTTCTTCATTCCAGTGAGTGTTTGGTCTGAAAAAGCAAAGAAAAAATGTAGAAATAAAGCTATTATCTGGATAAATAAAACAAAAGTATCTCTTTCAATTACTGGCTTCAAGCCTTCCATTCAGTTTGGCTGTGCAGACCTGACCACAGAGTGCTATTTTCGCATTCTCCATTTGTCAGACATGACTAGTCATTCTCCTTCCCTGAAGAGAGTAGGAGGGTGAAAAACAGATTTAAGCTACATAGAAAAGAGGGAATTTAGACCGGCTACAAGGTAAATATTCTTAGCAATGAGAATTGGACAAGAAAACACATTACTATGGGAGGATTTCAAGATGCTAAATTAGCTAAATAGTACATTAGAGAAATAAACCACTTTGCTAGGAGGAGTGCTTGTATACGGATGTGAAATCAAAATTCAGTTATAGAATGCAGATTGAGTTTATCGTAACCTGTATGTGAGTCAATACAGTATATTCGTATTTTAAACTTGGAAATAGGCAAAAGATGTATGCTATGTTATTGCCTTAAAATTGAGACATACTGTGGAATATCTTATTTTTCTTAATAAGCTATTGAAAACAGGTTGTTTCACATTTTCTTCCTGAGATAGTGTCTTGTTCTAATTGAATGTTGTGGCAATGGACTAGGCACAATAGCCATCGCTTAGCAGCTACTAAACAATCTGCTCAGTTAGGCCGAAAAAGTCCTCTTCCGGCCAGTTGCTTGTATGTGATGCACTAAGTCCTGACAAGGGGTAGTTGTAGCCAATTCTCTAATAGCTCTATTCCTTACAGGATTAAAGAACTAGGCCTCCTGAGAAGTTTAAAACAGACTAAAATACTCCCTGGTGTTTTGGTGCATTCCCACCAGCTAATTCCACCACTGGCCAACATGGATCTTGTTTGAAGCTAACCCAATTTGAATATTCCTTTTGCAAAACAGATGCTTTAGAACTCATAAAGATTCTTCTAAATGGTAAGCTTTCCTTGCACAGGGTCCAACCAGTGCTCACCTCTCTAAACTCATCTCCTAGCATGTAGCTCCCTCTTATAAGATGTTTCACAGTTCCTCAAACATGCCATGCCTTTATTCTCCCTGTATATGATAATTCCTCTATCTAGAACACTCTCACCCTACCCTACTTGCCTTATCTGGCACTGTCACTTATTCCTATGGCTCCTCAAGACAATTAATTGCACCTGCTTTGGGAAGCATTTCTTGGACTTCCCAAAGTGAGATAAATGCACCTTCTCTTTTTCCCATACCCTTCTGGGATTTTGCTTTCCCTCATACCATACATACAATACACCAAAAACTCCAGTTGGCTCTACCTTCGAAGTAAATCTAGAATCTGGCCACCTATTACCATTTCAACTGCTAACACCCTGGGCCATGCCACCAGCATCTCTAGCTTACATTTCTCCTAATTGATTCACTCTTGCCTACCTCCACAGTCTGTTCTCTGCATGATAGTCAGAATGGTCTGTTAAGACCTAAATCAGAGAAAATCCCTCCTCTTCTCAAAGCCCCTTTAGGGAGTTTCCCCATTTTGCTCACAATAAAAGTCAAAATTCTTAACAATGTCCTGCTCTGTGCCTCCCCCTCCCTACTGCTCTCTTGTCATGGACCTTTCCTTTCCCTCTTTTTCAATTCACTCCAGCCACCCTGTTTTCAGCGTTAGGGCTTTTCCACTGTGGTTCTGCCTTGCCTAGATATCTCTGTAGTTAATCAGTTCTCCATTTCCTTCAAGCCTCTACTTCATGTTACCTTGGCAATGAGACCTACTCTGGCCATCCTTAAAATTGCGATGCATTTCCCATCTACCACCACAGATGCCCCCATTTCCCTTTAACTTGCTGTACATTGTTCTTATCCCATGATTTCTTCACCTTCTTTCATACCTTATCATTTATTACTTTCATGTTTATCCCTTATTGTTTGATCCTCACACTAGAATATAAGCTCCGTAAAGACAGAAATCACTGTCAACTTTGTTCACTTGTGTATCCCAAGCATACTGAGTGCTCAGTAAATATTTGCTGACTATTAACAGCACTTAACAGCCAAACTCATGTTTTCTTTTCTACCTGCATTACTAGATTGTGAGCTCTTTCAGGACATGGAACATACATTTCATCTCTGATCTGACATATCCAGCATGGTTTCTGGTGTAGAGTAAGCAATATATCAATGTTAACTAAAGGAATAAGGAATGAGAAAAACGATCAATCAATAGATTTATAATATAATTCTTTTTGTGAAAATATAACATACTTGTTTTGTTCATTAACAAATGAATTACATATTTTACCTAAGCATTCTCCTTTTTATATCATTTTAATTGGGATAAATTTAAAGCCACATATCATTGGAGCTGGAAGAGACCCACCATTCTGTCTTACAGATGAAGCCAAAAGAATGAAAGTGATTTGCCCTAGATCAGTGGTTCTCCATCTTCCTAATGCCATGACCCTTTAATAAAGTTCCTCATGTTGTGATGACCCCCAACCATAAAAGTATTTTCATTTTGCTACTTCATAACTGTAATTTTGCTACTGTTATAAATTGTAATGTAAATATCTATATGCAAGAAACCCCCAAAGGGGTCACAACCCACAGGTTGAGCACCACTGCAGATCATTGATCTGGTAAGTGGGGGTGGGGGTGGTGGGCAGGACTGAAATCCATGTCAGGAGATCCAGCCCTGCTTTCATATATATACAATGGACTTGGGAAGCTGAGATCTTTGATCCTGAACACCTAACTGTTTCCAGCACATGCTAGATATTAATGCAATGCTCTTGAAGGAATCAAAGACAATCAATAGGTTTCTGTGTTTTCCTTGTAAGATATTTTTAATACTACCGGTCTACTTTCTCAATAGGTTGAACAAAGGTGGTTCATCAAACACCAAAACTTTGGAATCTGAGCCTTGGATTTCAAACCAAGGCTATTTAGGATATTCTCTTTTTTAAGTTACAAAGCATTGTTTAATTGGTCAGTAAAATCATTTTCATATGAAAAAGGCATGATTGTCCAGATTTCCAAAGTAAATGTTTAAGTGAGAATTATGTTTGGTGTCATGTGATTTTATTCAAAATTACTTTGGATAAAATTCCATAAGGTCCTCACGTAAAAGGAAAGTTTAAACTATGCAAGACAG